AAGTGTTGGCTTCCGCAGCAGAACTCAGGGCGGGGAAGTAAGTGCAGCCACTCCCTCCCTGAGGGGGGGCAAGCTGCCTGAGGCCTTGTATTGCTGGTGTTGATTTGGCTAATTGGCTTCTTCTTTCTACCAACTGCCAGGTTGTTATTCAGTCACCCTAATACAGAATATCTTCATATTTCTTTACATTGGTGATCCAATCTCATCCAATTGGCATTTATTCTCTCTCAGATTTGCTTAGAGAGACTTAGCCTCCCATCACTGCCCCTGCAGTGTATTTTTCCTGGATCCTTATCCTGGTGGGATATATTTTGTACATTAAAAGTCTATATCTGTGGCAGTTTGCAAAATTTTTTCCTTTGTTGGTCATATTTTTCAGATTATTCATTGCAAATTCCAAAAGGGGGCGCGGGCCAGTTTCTGGATACCCGGTCTTACCCAGGTCGTATCCTAGGCGTGCCAACCACCTGTACACATATATATATATTTCTATATATATTCATATTGATACTTCTGTTGTTTCACCATGGCAGATGATAACCCTAACTCCCGCCATTCTTTGAAGGCAAAATCTAAGTCCCATCATGTGCGCAGACAGGCTAAGGAAACCTCCCAGGACCAATACAGGGAGGAGGACCTTGAATGGGGATCCACCTTCCATGGGGAACCTTTTTCGGATTTAGACCCGATGGAAGCAGAGCTGTCGGAGGATGAGGGCCTTACCCCCGATCAGCCTTCCTTTGTGGGGTTATTCAAGCCCCACATGTTCAAGTCCATCTTGTTCAAGGCCAAGAACACCTCGGGCCTGGCCACTCAACTCCCCCCTGCCCCCCTCTCCTCTGGGGAGGAACCGGAGGATGCAATGTTCAAGCAGCCCGTGGTGGCCGAGGATGTGATTCCCGCCCCTCCCATTTTCCACGATCTGGTTTCTAACCAACTGGGCTTTACGGGGGCTCCTCCGGCCCCATCCACACAGGATAAGAGGTTGTTTAACCTCGAACCGAGTTTCTGCTCCCTCCTCAATACCCCGGAGGTGGACGAGTGACCCCCTGGAGGCCCTCAAACCCGAGGATAGGAGGTCTGAGTTGGCCTTGCGTCGGGCTCATCTAGCCGACGCCTGGGCAATTAGATCGGCCACCGCAGCCTCCTTCTTTACCAGATCCTCTATCCGGTGGCTCCGCCAACTGAAGTCACACATCCCTCCATCCAACATACGGGCGCTTCAGGACATAGCCAAAATCACAGCGGCGGCAGAGTTCTCAGCTGACGCCACGTACCATTCGGTTAAATTCTCCTCCCGGGCGTTAGCGTCTCAGGTCACTGCCCACCACCTGCTCTGGCTCAAACCATGGCAGGCGGACGTGAAGAACAAGGTCAAGCTGGCCTCTGCCCCCATTAAAGGGGAGAAGCTTTTTGGGCCGGCCCTGGACCCCCTCTTGGCCGAAACTAGGGGAAAGAAGAAATTCCTTCCTCCTCTTTTTCGGAGGCCTGACTCCCGAACCCCTCAGCCCTTTCGAAGAGGGTCCTCCCGGTCCTTCTACCAGTCCCCCTTCCCCCCAGATACCCGAGGCCTCCCTCGTATAGAGCATCATATCCCCAGGATCGTTCCGACTCGAGCGATCGAAATAGGAGGGGCGGAGGATTTAAGCGTCCCTTCAGGGGTTCCGGGGGGAGACCCTTCCGGCGCTCCAAATAGATCCTGTCTCTTTCCCCCCATTGATGGTCGGCTGAGACATTTCGCCAACCTGTGGGATTCTACCACTTCCGACAAATGGGTCAGGGACTCCATTAGGTTTGGACTTGCTCTGGAGTTCAACTCTCAACCTCCCGAGTTCTTCATGTCATCTCCTCCCTCTAGGGACCCCTCCAAACGCAAATTAATGGATTCTGCCATCCACCACTTACTCTCCATCCAGGCCATCCAGCCAGCTCCTCCCTCTCAGCGAGGCCAGGGTTTCTATTCCCACCTCTTCGTGGTTCCCAAGTCCTCGGGGGGATGGAGGGCTATCCTGGACCTCAAACGACTCAACCGCTTCCTAACCCTCCGCAAATTCAAAATGCACACCCTTCAATCCATCTTGCAGGGCACCAGGCAAGGAGATTGGCTCTCTTCTATAGACCTCTCTGAGGCATACCTCCACATCCCAATTCGGCCTTCCCACTCTAAATTCCTTAGATTCTGTTACAATCACCATCATTTCCAGTATGTGGCCCTTCCCTTTGGGTTAGCTTCCGCTCCCAGAGTTTTCACTAAGATCCTTGCGGCCCTGGCAGCTCGCTTAAGGGACTGCCCGGTCCGGCTCCACTGCTATCTGGATGATATCCTCATCCTGTCCCATTCCCAATCCCAAGCAGAGCTGGACACCAAGACTACCCTCTCTGCTCTCCAGGCCCATGGTTTCCTGGTCAACCAAAAAAAGAGCCAACTGGTCCCTTCTACCCGAATTGCCCACTTGGGGGCCATCATTGACACGGTGCAGGAAAAAGTGTTCCTTTCCCCAGAAAGGCTCCAGAGTATTCGTAATTCAATTCAGAGGGCCTCAAACACCCGAGCGGACTGGTTAAGCAGGGCCACCGTGGACCAGTCCGAGTGGCGCATCCACCCGTCCCTTTTCAGGGAGGCGACCATGATCTTCGGTCTCCCATCAGTGGATCTCTTTGCATCCCCCCTCAACACCCAGCTCCCTCGGTTCTTCTCCAGATTCCCTTCCCCTGGGGCCGAGAATCACGACGCACTTCGCTGTCCGTGGCCCCCGGGACTCCTGTACGCCTTCCCCCCGTTAGCTCTACTTCCCAGAGTCATTCAGAAACTGATCCAGGAGAAGGCAGATCTGATTTTAGGGGCCCCCTATTGGCCCAGGCGGACGTGGTTTGCGGATCTCCGCAACCTTTCGGTGTCTCCCCCGTGGAGAATCCCTCCGGACAGGATCTCCCTGTCTCAGGGGCCCATTCAACATCCGGAGCCCCAATGGCTCCAACTAACCGTGTGGAGGTTGAGCGGGAAAAGTTGAGGAAGGAGAATTTATCTGACCAGGTCATTAACACGATCCTAGCTGCCAGACGGCCTTCAACCAATCGGATATACAATGCTACCTGGGTCAGCTTCTGCAGGTGGTGCCATGCCTCCATGGTCAACCCGCTCTCGCCTTCAGTGGCCCAGATTCTGAATTTTCTCCAGGATGGGCTCAAAAAAGGTCTCTCACCTAATACCCTGAGACGCCAGGTAGCGGCCCTCTCGACCGTCGTCTCCGGCGACAATCTGAGTTCCCTCTCTCACCATCCCTGTATCAGGGCCTTCCTAAGGGGAGCTACTAACCTCCGTCCCCCTGTCCTGCACCGGTACCCCACTTGGGACCTTAACAAGGTCCTGGTGGCCCTAACCAAACCTCCTTTCGAGCCTATTAGAGAATCCTCTCTCCAAACTTTGACCTTTAAGGTAGTATTCCTGGTGGCAATTACCTCAGCTCGCCAAATTTTGGAGATTGCTGCCCTTTCAGTGAGAAAGGACGTTTGTATCTTCCATTCCGATTGGGTAGTCCTATGCCCCGACCCGACCTTCTTGCCCAAGGTCAATTCAGCCTTCCACAGGGCTCAGGAGCTTACACTCCCGAACTTTTGTCCCAATCCTTCGTGGGAAAGGGAGAAACGATGGCACACCCTAGATGTGAGGCGGGCCCTCCGCATATACATTAACCTCACGCAACCCTTTAGAAGGTCCGAGTCCTTATTTCTCTCCTTCCAGCCCAAGTCCTTAGGCCACAAGGTGTCCCCTTCCACCATCGGGCGATGGATCAGAGCCACCATCTCCAAGGCTTATTCGTCTCAGGCCTTGCCAGTTCCCAGCAGGGTTACGGCGCATTCCACCAGAAGTGCGGCCACCTCTGCGGCCTGGGCTACCCAGGCTCCAATCTCAGACATTTGTCGGGCCGCCACCTGGGCTTCCCCCTCCCCTTTCATTAGGCACTATAAGATTGACATCTTTGCATCAGCGGAGGCCTCGTTTGGTAGACGAGTCCTCCAGCGGGTCATCGAGGACCCAGGGGAGCTTCCACCCCAGACGGATTCCCTCCCGTAGGACAGCCAAGCTTTGGTATGTCCCACTCTCTGGATGATCTGAGCAGCTCGAGGGAGAATGGGCATTGGTCTTATCTGACACGCCATTTCTAGTCGAGCTGCGAGGATCATCCAGCCCCACCCTTTTTTATTTTTTTCCGTCTGGGGGAACCTTGTTTCAGCCAATGATACCTTAAGTCTAGTTAGATGAGAGTTAGACGACTTTCCTCCTCTCTCGACTTCGCATAAACTGGGGAACGCTACAAGGGACCATGTGACTGAAGGTGGAGCGTTCCTCAGTAATTAAGCTCAGCCTACACAGACGCAGACTGGAGCACCTCCCACTCTCTGGATGATCCTCGCAGCTCGACTAGAAATGGTGTGTCAGGTAAGACCAACGCCCATTTTCATCTGTGGTACCTAACTGAATGGCTTAGACCAGTAATTCTCTCAGTCCAAATTACTTCACCAGATTATTGGGGAGAAAAAAAATATGAAGAAGAAAATACCATAAATATTATTTGAGCACAGAATATAAATCTATTAAGTAAAAATAATAAATGAACCAACAATTCTGGAAATAGATCAAGTTTCTTATCTGTGCCAAAGAATGGCCAATGTAGCAAGATGCTTTTCTCTTGAAAATTTGCTTCCTAGACTCTGTCTTATGCAACTCCCTCTTAATAAATTCTTTTGTATCTTCTAACCTCTGTTAATTCTTACTCTGAAACTTGTCAAAGAAGATTGAGAATTTAATGTGTATTGTGGGAACAGTAGTTACATATTATAGTCTCCTTTTCATTGTAGTTTTATAATATTTGTGTTCCTTCTAGTTTCTTGTCTTATGCTTTGTTCTTTTTTCTCTTTCCTGTCTGCCTCTTTTACCTGCATCCTGCTCACTGAATCTGGGGCCTCTTCACTCCCCTGGATGGATCACCTCTGGACAGGGAAGGCCGTATGGTGGTGCTATCCCTTGTTTTGGGGCTCTCAGAACAGGACGACTTTGCCAATATACCTGATCTACAAACTACTGGGAACCAGCAGAACCAGAATTCTCAGGGGGACAAGAGGTATGAGTAGGAGACAGAGGCTTCCAGCTGCAAGAACCACAAGAGGAAAGAGAGCCTTCCATCCTAGCCCAACGAAAGAATGGAAGGCTGGTTCTGGAAATAGAAATTCTCAACTGAGCCACTCTAAGACCATCCTGCTGGCATCCTTGTTCCCCTGCTGGTTGCTGAGTTTCTCTAGGAAAATCACTTGAATCTCATGGCTATTTTTCCCCCAAATGTATATTGCATACTTAACTCACATAAATCATAATACATTTCTCCAATTTCATATAGTCCTTTCACTTATATCCCTGAAAATATATGAACACAGAGTATATGTCCCATTACAAGCATTTCTTTAATTCTCTCTTACTAACACACACACACACACACTCACATACACTGAAGAGGAAAAGAAAATCTCAGTTCCTGGGTTTAAGACTAGTCTTAAACTACGTTTCATGTGACAATTGCATATAAATCCACAAGTAAAGTGGAATTCTGTATTTCCTTGACTGAAGACTGCATTTCTACTGAATGTTCTAGGAATTGCTTCCAAATATATTCATAAGAATAAATGGGACAGTATTTTTGTCTATTACCTGCCAAGATTTAACTAAAAATGAAGTGAGTTGTTTTTACTTCATAAAATTAGTTCAAGGTCAGCAAGTTTGTTGTAAAAATAGAGAGGTATAAATGTCTGAAAGAGAGCAATAGATCTGAAGAATAAAGAGATAAGCTGATATTTGTTGCCTGTCAACAGCCATGACCTGTTATCATCAGAATGAAATTTCTTGAAAAATAACTTAGATTTTAAGGGGGCAGAAAGTTTTCCTTAGCCATGATGCTGAGAATTCTTCATGGAAAATTCTTCTCAGTAACCTGCCCAACTAAAATATACTGTTTACAGGTGTGGCAAAGAAAATGTTTTCTTTAAAGATAGTCTTGCTGGAGTAAACTATAGAGGAACTTAGGCCATCTTCATAATGAATTACCATTATAATGAAATCCATTAAGATAAATAAATTCTAGCTCCAAATTGAGGTACAGCATTGTCATAGTTAGAATCGCCTTTATTTGGCTCTTGACTGACCTAACATAAACTATAAACTACCTAGTAGTAAACATATTGCTACACCATGATAAGGTATAAATAGTTTCTCATTCCTTGTTTTTCCTCTTCCCTACCTTTCGCTCAGTCAATTAAATAGATTTACTAAGGTATAGTTGTTTAACTCATAGTAAGGACTAAACAATAGGGAGTCCAAGAAGAATTCCCTAGCTAGAAGCAGAGCCCTCGATAGTTCTCACATGAGTGTGAAATGGTATAAAGGAACAGATTTCATAAAATCAATTAATTAATTTACTGGCATCATTTCTCACCTACCAGTTATTTTTAACTGTGTTGAGGCACTGTTTCATTAAATATTTTCCCACTTCCCATTTGATGGTCCATGTGCCCATGCTTCACATGGCTTTTTTCAGTGTTTAAGTAGTAGTAGGTGAGCAATCTCTCAAATCATTGCAGTGCTCTGAGGAAATAACCTGCATTGGCTCAGGTTCATCCCATAATGCATCTCTTGCATTAACTCGATAAGCTTAACAGTGAAAGTACCCTTTGTTGTGCAGTTAATAAGCAATAGCCGATGAAGGGTATCTTTCTAGAATTGGTTATAAAGACCAGTTCCAGTTTTATAACACTGGATAACACTTGTGCGAGGCATTCTAAGTTTATAAGTCTTAATAATTTACTTAATTGTGGAACCTTGGGCCCGCATTCATTCACAAATCACATTTGTGTATTTTTTTATATTTTTTTTGGATTTATAAAACAAAGCAAAAAGAAAGCCACTGCAGTGGGCCCTAATCAGATCAGGACAGAGGGAGAAGATACCATGCTCTCAAGCTTTCTCTTATTGTTTGATGAAAAGTCTTTCTTTCTGCAAGCTGAAGGAAAGTTGATACTTACATTCATAACAGCATTCCTCTTAGACAAATAGCAACTTCAGAAGGCCAGTATTCCTTTAAGAAAAGAAGACCCTTCTATTCACCGCATAATCGTCAGGTATCTCTGTAAGGCCATATTTTAATATTTATTCCTTTTTTAAAACTCAACATTTTATTTATGAAGTAACTTACGATAGCTTCAGCATGCCCCCATTTATTTATTTATTAATTACTATTATTTAAGCAAACATTCAGTAACAGTAAAAAAAATCAGTAAAAGACCACATAATAAAGCAAAAAAGTTTTTTAAAAAAACCCCACAATGCAAAACAGCAGTAACAGCATAGACCCATTTAATAATTTCTATATCATTGTGTAATTTGAAAACTGGGTTACAGATGGCTAATAAGTAAATTCATCCATTTTGCCATAATTATGGGTTAAATGTTTAGATATATTCCTCTCATGCAGTTGCTTCACTGTATTCCAGTGTACACACTTTGTATTTCGTATTAATTCATCTTTAGCAGAAACAGGAATACCTAACATCAGGCATGAACAGTAGACTTTTTATAAAAGGGCTCTAGAAATGCCTTGGTAGGATCTTGCATGATCTTATTTTTAAAAAGTAAAGCTCGTGTTTTCAGTTTCATCTGGAAAATATTCACAGTCAGATTAAATGCAAATGTTACCTTCTGGAAATTTTGGGATAGGTCAGGACAAGCAGGGTATGTGTCTTCTAAACCAAAGATGCAGAGATCTTATAACTTTGGTGTAAGAGAGAATTAGAAGCCATACCCTGACATATCTTAGGGGCTTCAGATACTTGAAGCAAATCCCATACAATGGGAAGCAAATTTCATACAATCAGATAATCTGAATCAAAAATCATTTGGTTATTCTTTTCCTTTGACCTTGGTTTCCTGTGAGATCTTTTCATAACTAGTACCATATGTGCAGTAAACCTGCTGGCCAAACATTACTCGGCCCACATTGTCCTGAGAATACCCTCAGAAATGAACAAAATTAGGCCATGCTAATTATGTCCGTCCTTAACCCATGTCCCCTTTCCCTCTAGATACTGATATGTAGAAGAGACTGATGTAATTAGCAAATTGCAGCCTTCTGCAATGGAGTCCTTGTGGACTGGACAAATATTACCAACCATGATAATATTGGAATGGGATATCAGTTTCAAGCCCTCTGTTCTCTTTCCTGCCTGTTTCATGGAAATATGTCTCTATTTTGTTCCCTTTTCCAGCTGTGTTCAGTTTGTTCTTTGCTTCCCTTCACACCCCATGCTGCTTTCACTCCTCTGTGCTCCTTCCCCGGCATCTCTCTTCACTTTCGTGCCTTGCAGCCCTTCCTCTTCTCTGTCTGCTTGGCCCTTGGAATGCTGATCTTGCCTTGTGGTTGCAACAAGCCTTGTGATGCAGTCGGGGGAGGTGGGGGTTGCCTGCTGGGAAGGTTCTGGCCGCACTCCAGCCACATCTGACTTCGGCCTGTCTCCACTGATATTGTTTGCAGTGAGCCTATGATTTTCTCATGTCCTGTGTATGTGTGTCTCTCCCCGCACCTCCTCTATAATATCTCCTTCTGGCACTTTCTCTTTTTCTTTCTAGTCTTTCTATCGTTGCTGCCTGGTCTTTCCTCCATTGTCAGTTTTGGCAACACCAGTCCCGTGCCTTGTCCTGTGGGTGTGATATTCTTCCCTTACTAATGTTTGTGAGCGTGCGTGCGTGTGTTCCTCTGTCTTACCCACTTCTTCCACTCTATTTCTGTTCTATCAGGAGACACCATGCAGATCCTGTAATAGAAGACCTTCTTCCTTTTTAGCTTTTTTGTGTCTCTTTGCTTTTCTTGTGACTCTGCAGCATTCATGAACTCCCAGGCAGCTTTGCAGCTGATTCAGTATAGCGGGGTTGCAAAAATAACTTTGGATTTGTCATAACTTCTGACAACTGACCTCATGCATATGCTTACACTTTTCTCTACACACACCCGTACACACAATTATTTGTAACCTTTTCTTCTTCTTCAGCTATTTCAGTCTCTTTTTATCTGTGTGTGCATGTGCTGGTCTCTATTCCAGGTATACACTGGCAGCATGTCTAGTTCTTTGCATGTATCCAATCTGTCTCAGAGTGTAACCTTTCTATCTGAAATTTCCTATGGCTTGGTCTGTCCTTCTGCATATGTCTAACAAGCTTGAGCCTGTCCCTGAATGTTATTTGTTTATTGCTCTATTTCTTGATAGGAGTATTTTTGATTCCTGAAGGATGAGTGTGTGAGAGATATGTCTGCATGTTTGGATACCTACAGATGTGCATGTGATAAGCCATTGCAACAGTTCCGTGGTGCATCTGACATTTTGTGTTACATCAGAACAGATTCATATCTCATCATAGTCTTGGAAGTTTTCTCCCTTAGCATCTGTCTGATATATTTGTCTGTCACTGAACACTTTGTCTATATATGTTTCTTCAGTTCTTTTTATGTATCTTATTGACAACTTCAGTGAGCCTCTTCTGCTGACAAGATTTAAGCTTGGTGTTATGGTTGAAAACAGTGGGCTTTAGGCTCCCTGTTCAACAAGCCCTTCTCTGCGTTGGGTGACCTGCTCTTTTTGGAACTCCTTGCATAACACACAGGAAGAGCCCCCAGGATGTATTCTTATAACGTAAGACTGAAGCTCAGGAATAGAGCTGTGTGCATGGCTTCTATATTGGAAGGCCCCAGTAGGAAATAATGGGAAAGGCTCTGCTGGATGCTGAAAGTTGCATCCCATCAGAGCAAGTGCAGTTGGCTTAGATGGAAAAAATAACCCCATCATCCTCAAGGTTGATATATGTTCTGATGATTTTTTAAAGAATTTTTCCCTGAATGGACAGACAAAACCTACCACTTGGAGCCATTCTTGGGCACATTCAGCCCTGTGAGTAGTTATTTCTTGATTATGCTAGATATATTTATTGTCATATGTTAGAATAACAAAAGCCATTGCTTTTCAAAACTCTCCTTCTGACATTTTTAATTATCAGCTGTGACTTCAGAAATTGAAAGTGGCATTCCTATTTTCCTCCCAGCACCAGTCACTAGGTTTTATGATGGGTGACCCTTTATTCCTTGATTAACATTCAGGGCCCAGCACTTCCCATGCACTATAGGAATAGACTTGCTGTAGTTCTGGCAACCAACACAGAGGTATTGCTTTAACATTTTACTCCTTCCAATCGTGGGGGCTAGTGAAGAGAAATACTACCATTCTGTGATGCACTTTCCCTTTCTCTGAGGAAACATATAGAGCTTCACAAATGTACACAGTAATAACTGTGGATTATGGGAGTGCTATAAATATTTTAAAAATATAAAACTCTTCCATAAAATTCACACAAGGGGCCTTCGAAAGAGCAGGTTTCTAGCCAAGTAACATATACTGCAGGTCCTTCCAAATGAAAATTTAACACTTCAAACGAAGGACATCTACCCTAGATTTGTTCAGTGTTCAGTATTTTCCTCATGCTCAGAAAAATTGGAGTGGAAGAGGACAGGTTTTCTAGCTTTCTACCTTTAAACGTAAAATGTATTTAAACTCAAGATGAAAATTATTTGTTTAACTGGGCACTAAATACTGCATTTGTTCTTCAACTTATCCAAAAAAATAAATTCTCTTCCATGTCTTTGTGTATCATATGTGGATCTTGATATGTCTTTGTTAAATGTCCAACCTCTGGAAATTATCACCAACTCTCTCATTCTGCATCCATTGCCCCAAATAGTTTTTCAGACAATGAGATATTTATATTTCTCCCCCTATAGATGCCTTTTCACATTCTAATGCCCACCAGTTCCTCTCTTTTATTCCTATCTCACTTCTCTATCCTAAAATGCAAACTTTCTTATGCCAGATGTAATAATATCCCATCCTGACTAACTGAAAACATTAAGAGTCTTTTAAGTTTGCTAAGTTTATCAGGAGGAGATGACCACTGATTAAAACAAAACCCAATGAGAAATATACTTCATGCTTGAATCCCCTGGTAGGAAGCAGAAGGAGGCTAGGTTTTAAATATGCTTTGGTGAATCTATAATTCAGACAAGGTGTGTTGGACATGTGGAATAAGTCATGTTAAATGGAGATCCACATTGAATGTTTTATTAAAAGGGGAAATTAGTTCTTATCTGAACCATGAGCCACAATGGCACAGTGATTAGAGTGTAGTATTGCAGGCTACTTCTGCTGACTGCCGGCTGCCTGTAATTTGGCAGTTCATATCTCGCCAGGCTCAAGGTTGACTCAGCCTTCCATCCTTCCGAGGTGGGTACAATGAGGACCCAGATTGCTGGGGACAATATGTTGACTCTGTAAACTGCTTAGAGAGGGCTGTAAAGTGGTATATAAGTCTAAATGTATTGCTGTAGATGTTACTTCTCAGCTCGACTTGAGAGTCCATAGCTATGCTGCTGTAGAGACACAAAGGAAGCCAGGGCTTGCCCAGATGCTTTTGGTTAGCAACTTCCCTTTCTGCTGCAAAAGAATTAAGCTGGAAGGCAGTTGCTACATATGTTATCATCGATACAGCTCAGTGGGGCATAATCAGTGGATAATAAGATAATACTGCAACAGCTTGATTCATCTGGCAAAAAGTAGGCTACAGTGGAATGGTTTAACTCAGGTTGTGTCATGTTTTGGACTAGAGATATGATCTGTCACAGACAATCTATCCTAGCTTTTTGATTCTGCTCCTTTTCTAAGGCCCTGTGAGATATCCCTTTGTCACCCAGCACTCAGGTTCCCTAGGTGCTCTGTGTATACTGGCTGAGAAACCATCTGGCTATACGTCATCTCAGAAATTGCCTGTCAAGGAAAGTAAACAAAAGCACTTCTCTCTTTGACAGAGGGAATTTTGTGTTTGGAGAAGGTTAATGGCCTGTGAGGTAGGAAGGGAAATGGCAGCAAGCTCTCCAACCAGCATTCATAATCTGGCTCAGCCTCATGAGATAATGAGAGCCAATGTGGTGTAGTGGTTAAAGTGCTGGACTAGAATCAAAGAAATCCAGATTCAAGTTCGCCAGGAAACGTCACAAGTTGACTTTGAACCAGCACTTTCATTCAGCCTAAAATCTGACCAGAGTTTTGGGTATAGTGATAATTTGAAGGGAGATCTACATGTAAATTACTTGGAACTCCTGGAGAAAAACCAGAATACAAGTCTGAAAACAAAATGTCATTTTTTATCATCCTCCTCATTAGTAATCATTACTAGGAAAAACTAAGCAATACCATTTAGTGGTATATATCAGAAAAAGATGGGCCACAAACGAAAGAGATCATGATAAATTCAAAACTGTATACCAGATGTTTAAATGGTAATATTGCATAATTTTTGTTTCTTTTCTACTGTTGAATGGATCTACCATAATATATATTCTTTCTTCCTATTTCAAATATTGAGTTTTTATTATATTCAAAACATGTGTAAAGGTTTCCCTTCTCTCCCACAGATTACCATCTGGAGGGAAAGTTGTCAACACAACACCAGTGCCAGGTCAGACCCAACACGAGGATACTGATCACAAAACAGAGCCCCGTTCATCTGTCACAGACCTTGTAAATTCCCTTACTAGTGAGATGTTGATGGTAAGTGTTGATAGTTTCCCACTGGTTTTACAATATCTGTTAATGCATGATTTGAAGAAAGGAAAGAGCTCTGTCTCCCTTTACCTCTTTTCCTCCAACTATGTCCACCACAACCCCCCAAAAATGATGAGTGTCACCATCAAATTAAACATGGCATATTTTCAAATCCAAAGGAAAAGCCAGAATGTTTCTAGATCACCAAATCTTGAGATTTCAGTGAGCTCATATGAAATCGTAAGAAAATTTTGCAATTCATGTAAGACTTGCCAGAGAAACTCACAATGAGATTACCAAAATCTTGAGAGATGTAGCCTTCTAACAACAATTGAAGCAACTTTGCAAGGGTTGGTTATTACAAAAGCTGAGCACAACATTGATAGGGACCTGAAAAGGATGTTCAACTGATTTAAATCTAGCTGTGCATTCTCCCCATGAAAAGAACTACATAAATGATATATAGTGTGTCAGCTATAAAGTCATCGCTGAAAATCTGACTCCTATTTCCACTGTAGCATCTTTATTCCTTATTTTTTTCATCTCCTCACTGAGCCTTTCCCCATTGTACTAACCATGGCCCAGGCATCCCCATCTAATTTTTTGCTTTCATCTGAGGCAGCCTTAACTTATTCTTCAACTTCTGTATTGCTTAACCAGGCAACAATTTTGGCACTTTACTGTGGGTCACTGTACTGCACTTCATTGACCATTCTAATGTTTTTTCCTCCTCCATGTTGTTACATTTTGTAGCAGGATTGCTAAAGTAAACAGAATTAAAAAATACAAAAGGTAAACAGTGAAACGATCAATAAAGCACCATAAAGAATACATATATCTATCCCATAAACACAACTTTCAATTCTGGCATGAAGAGATTATATTTAAACACACACACACACACACACACACCCCTCTGTGTAGTCGTTCACTATTCTTTTCAATATAGGTTCAAGAAATTCTCTTCCAGAGTCAACTGGGTGAGGATGTACAAGCTTATTTTCCCTCTTGCTTGACTGTTGCAACACCCCCAACATCATCATTGATCAATTGCTAAGGGTTTGGCATTTGGTTTAAAAATTTCTTGATTTAGCAGAGGAGATGTACATGGGAGTGTTGGGTGAAACAGTGCAAGAAGCCTCTACCCTTTCCTCTGCCCAGACCTAACCTGTATCACCTATCATTGCTTTTGAACATGACTTTAATACCCTGAAATAATGACAAACTTGTTTGTATTAGTAATCCAGATAACAGTCTCAGACAGACAGAGGATGCACATTGCCATTGTGTAACAAAATAGTTCTTTTCCATGCAGGCCTCTGGTCACTTGTCACCAATTTTGTTTGAATTTTGACAGCTGGCTAAATCCACCAGTCTAACCATCTGTCAAAATGTATCTCCCTCCAATGTCATCCCATGTTGAGGGTAGCGTTGGATGGAATTTTTCCCCTCTACAAGTGAAGTTTAGCCCGGAGGGAAGGGAAACAAGAGAATCTGCCAGCCCTTTAGCATGTCCAGCATGCAATAAATGAAGACACCATCTTGCCAGTCACAAGCCTAGAGCAAAGTAGGGTTGGCTACATGGGCAGCAGTTCTTATGCTGCTGATATAATTTTCTGCTGGGTGAATAACATTTTAAATGAGCCATGAGGAAGAGCCCATTAACTTGGTCCTGTTTGCTAGGAATTGATTAGCAAGCTAGTCTAAACAGAGCACAGCAGGCAAAGAACTGGCTTCTGGAGCCACTAAATGACCCACCCAATGATTTAATGGTGATTCTGGAAAAGGAAAGGGAGCCGAAGACTAGAAACTGGGACCAGTATATCATGATCAACAGGCAATCGTCACTTATGTCATTTCTTTGAATAAATCCAACAGAATGCAAGACAGATACACTTGACCTGTGGCAAGCTTAAACCAAGTAATATACCTGTATGAGGACTGTAATGTGTTAAACAATATATTAATGTTACTAACCTGCTTTACATACCTTTTGTTTATCACATTGACCCTTTTGAGATCTCTCTCCCTCTCCCTCCTTCCCTCCCTCCCTCCCTCCCTCCCTCTCTCTCTCTCTCCCTCCCTCTCTCATCAGCAGCTGGAAAAAGGTGTTATTATTGTATGGTTTTATCTCTTCTTTCACATACTGTTTTGTTAGACCAAAACTTGAAAGAGCCAATTCTGTGTTTAGTTTGTAGTTTGGTTTGCAGTTAAGGAAAAAAGCAGCTGTGGGGGGGGGGGGGGGGCATCACAGAATTTGGTAGACTCCCACCTCTTTTAATGGAACCTGAAGAACATCAGTGCAGAGAAAGTACACTGTCAGGTCATTGCAGAGCAGCCTTCCCCAACTTGGTGTCTTTCTGGGAAATTGAAAGTGATGGAAATTGTAGTAGTATCCATCTTGGTGATAGTAGCCTCAAAGTCAGAATTTGAATAGAGCAATATATACAGTATGCTAGAGGCTTGTGTTTCACATCCTTAGTTCATTGTTTCCTTTCTTACAAAGCATGTCAATATTAATACTTTTCCTCATTTTTGGGTTTTACTAGGAACTTGGAATGGTTTTTTTTTTCCCTTTGCTGGTCTAAGCAGGCAGGACAGGATATATTTTGCTGGTGTAGCCATTAAATGCTGTAGCAGCACATTTATTGACTGATTGGTGAAATGTGAATTTACGCCCAAATTTCCAATATTCAAAGCGGCTTAGAGAAATTACGGAAGCAGAATCAGTACAATGAAAAGCAGTCATTAAAATTATTAACAACTAAAAATTTGATGAAAAGATGTATGTTTAACTTCTTAAAATACTGGGAAAGCAGGAGCCAAATGCACCTCCCTGTGTAGCTAATTCCATAATCTGGGAGACACGTAGCCTTAGCAGGGGAATGAGGGTATCCTTCAAATGTGGAAGATATACAGTATGTGATTGTTCATCACAGAGGCACTTGATAGGGGTTTATAAGCTGAGGAGAAAGTGGAAAGTTAATAATTGTCAACAGATACAACCCTCCCCCATCCAAGTTCACACAGGATTTGATTAATGGATTTCTCTGCCACAAATTGTGACAATGTTTGAAGAGGACTTTAGGCAAATGTTTGGAAGGAAAGGCTGTTAATGATTACTGGGATTCCTATATATACTATCTCCTGAGTCAGAGGTAATAATAACCTGGAGACAATCAACAATTGGTTTTTCGATTTCCTGGAGACATCTCTTTGGGTATTATAGAAAATCAGTTAATTTGCTCTGGTTAAGTATATTTTTTCTTAATTCTTCAAGAGAACCTTCTCTCCAGAGAGGCTGACATTCTATTTATGATTAAAGTCAAAAAATGACATTAATCCATATTTTCTTCATTATAGAAAGATGCAAATACTTTAAAGTTGGCACATTTGCAGTATAACAACTATATTACTTATACGTTGATTGACATGTCATTTCCTTAATTATACCATTCCTATAACATGAAGCAATGGATACGTGGGTGTAAATTGCACATGGGGGACCGGGGGGGAGGGGAGAGAGACATACAAATGGAACAGATCAATTTTTAAAAAAATTTAAAACATAGAATATCAGAGTTGTAAGAGACCTTGGAGATCTTCTAGCCCGGGGTCACCAACCTTTTGGACCTCAGGGACCACCACACTCATAATATTAGATCCCAGGGACCACTAACTGGTTGTGTGGGTGTGGCCTAATTTGTGGATGTGGCTTGGTGCTCATGTGGCTGGCTGGGCATGGCTTGTATGTAAATATTATAAATATTTATATAAATATTGAATTTTTTATTAAAAAAAAGAACAACTTTTACCCAAAATCAGGCAAAGCAGGCAGGTTGAGTTGCTCACAGAATCACATTCAGAGATCTATCTATCTGCCATTGGCTAGCTCAGTCTGTCACATAAAATTTGCTAGCAAGCAAACTCACAAAATTAACTCACAACACACCATGCATGTAAATATTGAATTTTTTATTTAAAAAAAGAGCAACTTTGACACAGATTCATTCAGAGATCTATCTATCTGCCATTGGCTAGCTCAATCTCTCAAATTTGCTTGCTGTGAGTCTGCACTGAATTTGCTTGCAAGCAAACCTTCAGGCCTAAGGGAGGTTCGGCTGTGCTGAGCCGAAGATCTAAAGATTAGTTAGAAAGCAAGAAATCCAACCATTTCCTGCTTCCCAGCTAATCTAAATCTCCCAGCACAGCAGAACAGATGATGGTCGGGAAAAAGGAAAAATAACAATTTAGCAGGCAAGTTTACCGGGTAAGGAGTGAGTGGGCGGGGAGGGTTCCCGTGGGCCATGTGGGCGGTGCAGCCTTGTGTTTCTGCACAGCCTGGATTAATTGCTTTGTGGGGGTGCTCTGGGGGTGAGATTTCTCTGTGGCCCACCAAAATTTTCTCACGGCCAACCAGTGGGCCAGGGCCTACTGGTTGGTGACCGCTGTTCTAGCCAACCCTCTGTTCAAGCATTCAGACAAATGGCTGTCCAGTCTCTTCTTAACACCCATAACTTCTGAACGCAAGCTATTCCACTGGTTGATTGCTCTCACTGTCAAGAAATTTCTCCTTAGTTCGAGATTGCTTCTGTTCTTGATTAGTTTCCATCCATTGCTTCTCGTCTTGCCTTCTGATGCTTTGGAAAATAAATTGACACCCTCTTCTTGGTGGCAGCTCCTCAAATACTGAAACACTGCTATCATGTCACTTCTAGTCTAGAGGTTTCACTAGACTAGACACACCCAATTTCTGTAACCATTCTTCATATGCTTTAGCCTTCAGCCCTCTAATCATCTTTGTTGCTCTTCTCTACATCCTTTGCAGAGTCTCAGCATCTTTTTTTATATTGTGGTGATCAAACCTGGATGCAGTATTCCAAATGTGATCTTACCAAGGCTTTATAAAGTGATAATAGAACTTCATTGCATTGGCTTTTTTGGCAGCTGCAGCATGTTACTGGCTCATATTTAAGTGACTATCCACTAGGACAGTGGTCCCCAAC